CCAGAACAGAGTTAAGTGTTTATGGTAGACGGATGTTTAGTTTGCTCAGAATCAGCCTTCTCCAAGGTGATACCTTCTGATTGTGATTGCTTATGCTAACAGGGCATGATGGAAGCTGTAGTCTGAAATCTTTGAAGGACACAAAATTAGGGAAATATCCTCTGCTTCCATCTTTTGGTCTGCATCTCCTTTTTGTATTTTTTTCCTCTCCTCCTTGCTCAGAAGTCTTTTTCTCTCTCCTCCAGCTGAAGGAAAGGTGAATTTGGGAGAATTCATGAAATGGGTGAGAGCAGTTCAGCTGCTTCCTCAATCCTGTAAGTTAAATTAATTAACTGATTGAGAATATGCTGTGAGAGAAGTGTTACAGTGACAACAGGAAAATGCATATCTGGGTTTGCTTTTGAGCGACATTTACCTTGGAATCAGAACCCTGAGGATATACAAATGCCAGTCTTTAGCTGAAGAGTATGGTCAGTGTTTGGAGGAACTGCATGTTCACACAAAACTTTTTCAAAATCATTAAAAATTGAGGTTTTGTATCCGCTAATTATGCAAGCAAAATGTGCAGCGACCATTATTTTTCTGTGACATTTAGATGCCTTTTATTCTAATTTCTTGCTGACAAATGGGAACATTATTGATATATATTGATATAAATAGAGCAGGCAATATATATATTGATATACTGTATATATATATATATAGCCTGCTCTATTTTCTACCAACTCCCATCTTTCCATCACTTTATATCTTTTGCTTTTCTATCAAAAATGAAATCACAAGCAGAATGATCACACAGTATATTTTGATGACACACGTAAACATCCTCCATTTGGAAGCATCTCTATCAATTTTTCCCTACAACTGCCATGCTCCACCTTTTCCCCCCTAATAAGGGAAAGAAACACTTCCCAGGAAAGGTCTGAGTTGTTGTGCAACAGTTTTGAAATAGAAATTTCCCATTAAGCCTCTTCCAGTTACACCTGCATTTTTTTTACATAGGACCCAAGCTGGGTCTGCTGCTGCCACGTGTAATTTGACCTCAACATTATATCAAAAGTGGTGACATATAAAGCTATCTGGTTGCAAATTGGCAGATATCTTCAAGGTTGATTAGTGTAAATGAGTACAGAGGCTGTGAGATCAGAAGATTGCTATTTTGGGGTTTTATGCCTTTACCTTACAACAGTTGAGATAGTGCACTTTAGCAGATTTGCCAAGGCAGTTGAAGAGATCCATGAGTCACCACCTTGTGAGCTGAGAGTCTCAAAGCCAAAATACATTCTTGGGAAAAAAATCCCTGCTGGTTTGTTCTCAGGTGTGAGAAAGAGAAAATGCAAAATTTCTCAACAAGATCATGTCAGTTTTGCTGAGAGTTTTCATGTACTCTAGATCATTTTCCCCCCTTTTCGTCAGCCCCCGTGTGTGTAGTGTTCGGACTGAACTTAATTTAAAGAACTAGCCAGAGATTAGTTTTAGCATTCTTCAGGACCTCGTGTCCCTCCACCATCTTGGCTGCTCTGTCTAACTGGTTTCATTTTG